ATCTTTTTAGCTTATTAGCCAACTTATTACAGGATTATTTAACTTATTTCTACTTTTATCAAGACTTTATCAAGACTTTTATCAAGTACATTATCTCATTATATTGGCAAATAATTTGATTGTTTCAAGCATATTTCTTAAAACAAAAAAGTTTAGTAATCTTATAATAAACTTACAACAATCTCAGTATGAGAAATATTTAACATATGGACTAGATTTAAGATAATTTCACTTGCCAAGATACTATTTTGTATGCATTGTAAGATTCATCTTTGTACATATAAAATATTCACGAGTTGGAAAATCTCTTATCTATTTTTCTTTCCATTTTCATATTTTAATTTGACAAAAGTGTTATATCTTATCTACTTATGTGCAACTCCAGCCATAAACGGTTATCTGGGGTTAAAGTTTGTCGTCTGCGTGTTCTAATCTGTATGTGTGTGTGCGTGTATGTGTGTTTGTACGGCTGCTTTTCTCACATTGTTTACTGGGAGGAATAGTCTACAGCCTTCTTTGTTTGAACACATTGCCCCTGTTGACCCCCTTGATCACTCACTCATTCCATTTCTGGTGAAACGGCGATGAAAGATATCAGTGCTTGCACTGTGTAAACAATCGCTCAGCTGCTGAACAGCGGCCCGGGACTCCTGGCCTTATGTTCCTCTTGCTGATCATGCCTGGGATCAGACCTCACTCCATATGTGTCTGACACAGGCTGACAAGCACTGTATGATGTCGGAGTCTGTGTGTGTATAAGTAGCTTACATAAAGTTAAATAACGTGAACCACATGTAGTCAGTACTAAAGTGCAGTGCTGTTTTCTTCTTTCCTGCACTTTAGTATTGTTCCTACACTAGTATTGTGTCTTGCATTTTGTATTGTTGTGTGAACTATACATTTCCCCAGAATGTCTACTGAATAAGCTGTTAATTATGATGTGCAAGTGTCTGTACTGACAATTAATTTTAATAAATAAAGACCGAATTTTGAACTGAAATCAAATTAAATTTAAAACTGCTTAATATGAGGTTATACCAAAAAGTAATCTTCAGCATGAAGTATGTGAAGAAGGCACAGAAAACCCTGTAAGAAGGATGTTTATGATGAATTGCATTATTTTGAAGGAGGCATTCAGAATTTTTGTCTTCTTACAGTTATCATCCTCAATTCCCTTTTGCTTTTCCTCCTATACAGCACTGTGCAAAAGTCAGAAACTATTAAGTACAAGTTTTACAATCTTGAATATTGTAAAACAAAGAAAATACAATTAAAATAAAAAAGAAAATTTTTAATTTCTAGATCACTATTCAAATGCAACTTTGTAAAACTGATCATGTAAAAGCCTTTGACCTGAAAGATCAGTTTTTTTTGTTGTTTTATTGCAGTCCTATTGCGTCCATTGAAATATGTGTTCAGAGGTCTGGGAAAAACTATTTGCAGGAAACATTTGTGCACATTGTGCAAATGTAAACTTTAAATTGTAGTCTGCACAGAAAACTATACAGAGAGCTCCAGTCAGGGCTCGGCTATGATCCTTCGAGAGTACAAACCCATAGCCTAAACATGATGCACATGGAAGACAGGATCATATGGCAAAACACATTTGACTGGGAAATTATATTTAATATCTTTCTGATTTCCAAGATTTGCAAAAGACAGGCTACAGAGAGATTGACATGAAGTATCATAATGTCTATCTTTATATGTGCTACGCCTTGTAAAACCATCTGTGACCTGATTGATTGTTGATTTTGTTCATCTAAACTAAAACTTTGCTTTGCATTGTTTCATTGAATTTGCATTGTTTCATTGAGTTAAACCACTTAAATTGCTTGTCACTGTATAAAATATTTTTAGGTTGAACTGATAAACTGTTTTTACACTGAATTACAAAAAAACAATCACTGCATCAGAGAAACATTAAAAACAGAACAGTATACCTTTATTGTATAGGAACAAATAAAGTTATAGAAACTAACAGTACTCTACGTTATCTTGCAAGGAAAAAAAGTCACAGATACTGTAAATGTGTAGTATACCTGGTGTGAATTATTTGGCCACATGCTCTCATTCACATCAAACCTAATGTTCTGTGTTGCTTATACACATACAAATAATTACTTGCTTATTATGTTATGAACCCATAATGGATCATGCACTGTAAACAAAATAACTCCAATTTTAATTGATAAAAACAAACAAACTGACACAGAGGAGGAAAGAGAAGACATCTGGGGAACAGGGTTTTTATTTAGCACGACAATATATCTGCTCACACGCCACCTATTAAATGTAACTTGCTTTTATGTTACAATAAGAAAGCTGTAAGATTAGCAGTGTAACCCATGGCTGGTTCCAAATCCTGTGTGATGGACTGATACAAAATAGAAATGAATTGTTCTTAATTTTTTATTACACATATTTACATTCAATTATATTTATTGCAGTTGTTCACATGCCTAGTGTTTAACCAAAATAACCTTGTGTGATGCTGATTCACTGACTAGGAGAAAAAAGGCAATGCTAGGCATTTGATTGCCAACTTCATTTAGTAGCCTACTGCGTTTGCCTGATGACTTAGTTTAAAGTCTGTGGAAAAACATGCAAGAATGGAGAACGGCAACAATCAGCATTGCAATCACAAGAAATTAAATGTGTAATAGTGAGTTTTCACACAGTTCTGAGCTGATGGATCAACTCAGAAACTAAAACAGATAGCGAGACTCAGCCCACCACGTAGGTGGATTTAATCTACTGATCAGAGGCTGTTGCACAGACTAAGGCAGTCCATGCTAGTTTGTGCACATGCTGTCATTAAAGCAAAATATATATCAAATACATCCAACGATTCTACGTTTTACTCAAATTGTTATGCTGATAGTATCATTTTTATAAACTTTATATTCAATTAAAAAGAAAAGCAGAATAGAAGCCTCACCAACAATCATTTTTCTAGCATTTGTATGCTTTTTGTATGCTAGGTCACTTGCCTGCCACCTGATAAAATGTCTTAAAGTGGCTTCTTCAAAACCTTTGCCTTCATCTCCTTTGAATGGATGCCCTTGCAAACAGAAACCTCACGGAATTCTCTGTTCAAGGTACAACATTTGTTTCTTGTTACTGAATGATGAACGTCTGTGGGATATAATTACTAAAACATAATAGCCTGTTTTCCACATGTAGATTAAGTCTATCCTTGGATTCAAAAGAATTTTACACTAAAAACCAGAGGTGGTAAATTTAACACAAAGAATAGCTTGTTCAAAAACTGTATAAACAGAATATGCACTGATGAATTAGATGAATCCATCAGATTACCTTATCTCCGGTGTCATTTTCTCTGTCATGTGTAAAAGGCAGGGATCCTTTAAATAAAAAACAAATATTAGATAGAAAAATTAACTGCAGAGACAGAGTCGTGCTGGGAGCAAAAAAAAGACACAAACAGGGACTGAGACCACAATAGGCACAGGAACCAGGACAGGAAAGGTAACAATAATGGGAAAATAGACAACTGTGGAACTGTCTTGGGGACCCTAACTGGCAAATTGGCAAGGGTGAAAAAAGCTATTGGCTGCTTCAGAAGTGGGTAGAGCTGCAAGAGCACAACAAAATCCAGGACTGCTCACAAGTCAGTGGTGACGTCCTCGGCCACAAGCCGGGGCACTGGAGTGATGACAGCTTCTGCTGTGGGAACAGAAACGGGAGAGAAGCAGTGTTTTCAGCCACTGGCAAGGAAACTGGAGTGGCAGCATTTTAAGCAGCAGACAGAGAAATAGTGTTGTGGCAGGGCCTCTTCGAAGGCAGCATTTCTGACTGTGAGGGGAAATGACATCCCTGATAGCTGAATAGACTGTAGCAAGTTTGGCTGCGATGCTTCCTGTTAAAGAAAAAGGTTGTTGGTCTCTTTGATAGCTCTGGCTTCAAACTCTAATATTTGACCCAAGAAGTACGTCATCCGGGTACCCTTGGCATTATGGAGTACATGTTGGTCACATACTGCATACTTACTTTGGTGCATTACCAGTATGTGAGCAATGTGTAGTAGGCTATTTCAAACAGAGCCTAGAGTGGACTGGAGACCAGATAGAAGCAAAGGTCACAAAGGATTGATCCAAGGAAGCCGTGACAGTCTCTGATTTTAGAAAATTGGAAAATCTTTTTCTCTTCATTATCTTTCGCCTTTGCTAAATCTAAGGTTACCATGCATGCTCTTTTTTCAGGACATGTCCTCTTTTTGGGATTTAAAAAAACAGGTCTGGCCAGAATTTGTAAATTGCCTAAAATGTCCAAGATTTGGCTTTGCTTTCATGTTGACATTCGCTTTCTATAGTCTGTCTCATGCCACCCCCCTGCCCCCCGTGTACTTTGTTTTAAAATCAAAATATGGTCACCCTAGCTAAATCACTTGTAATAAGTTAATGCACATATAATTTTAGTGTTCCGTCATTATCTCTATCGCCAGTATAATTTCTTTAAATACCAAAGTTGTTAATGATAATGATAATTGTATCTACATAATTATATCTAGATGATAACATAATTTCAAGGTACTTGCCAATAAAAGTAAAAACAAAAAAACTTTTTGAAAATCATAAAATGTATATTTTTTTATTTCTTTATTTATTAATTGTTGGCCAAATCTGCATTTTGCATGCATACATTACCAGTATGCTATGGTGTGTCATGTTATGATGCACTGTATTCATCTAACTTAAGTCACTTGTATCACGCAACTCCACTGGGTAATATGCCATTTTATTTTTCGTCTGGTGCCTGATGTAAAGCCTGAGTGTGAACTTTAACGCATTCTCTTATATCCGCTAGGTGGAGCGCTGCTCAAGTGCCGAGTTTAGAGCTTTGCTCATTAGGAACAGCGTGATGCTGCTCGGCAGCGCCTCCTGCCGGCCCCCAGCGGCAGCACCCCGCAGCGCCAAGCAGCGGCGGCCCTCATGACCACAGCGAGCCAATCGGCTGTGGGAGGCACAGCTCTCCCTGTGGCCGCCATTAGAGAAAGGAATCCATGAATTCAAATGGAAACCAGTAGGAACAGATACTGAAAATATACTTGTAAAACAACCGATTTGATGTAGTTTATCGCTATCCTTCGACGCTCTTTAATGCGGAATGATTTTCGTTTTAAAAGAGCTTTTGGTTGGAGGTGGAGGCATAGAAGGCCATTTTAGCAGATACCGTTTTTAAGCTAAGGGGGAGGGGGAGAGTTACCTCTGTGCTCTCCCTTTTTTCTTTTTGTTTTAATAGCGTTTTCGCCGCTTTTTTGCGTTTAATTTATTGTATAGCATTTTGGCCTCGTCGACGCGGAGGTTGCTGTGGTTTTAGTCCTGTTTCGGAGTGTCGTGGAGGACGAAAGCGATCGAATGGGGTTGGCGAAATACATTCCCCCAGCGATTGTTTAAAAATAATTCTCCTCAGCACTGCTTACATACAAATCACATTCGCAAATCGCTCTTTATTTCCCGGGGACCGTGATGATGGAGTGCTCTACCACGCAGTGAAAGGATGAGTTCTTGTTTTGTACCAAACGGGGCCAGCTTGGAGGATTGCCATTCCAATCTATTCTATCTGGTAAGAGATTTAAAACTAAAGGAAAGCAGCCATTTTTAACTAGCCGAAAAGAGCGAGCCAGTTAGCTACTTAGCATGCTAACGCTAGCCACAGTGCTGGGAAAGCAGGCTTTTAGGGCCTGTTGCCCACCACAGGTTCAGCTGTACAAAGTCTTCAGTGTTTATGTGTGTACACTGTGGTTGCTTAACTTAAATGGAGTGGTTTAATACGTTTTACAGTCGAGTACTGAATCTCACAACCATATTATTTTATTACAATTCGTTTGCAGTGTTCGCTAAGTTCGTAAAATGAGAAAAAAGTCCAGTTAACGTTACTTCTGAAAATAAACATTATGAAGCGTCTATCGTTTATACGCCGAACAGAGAATAGTGACACAACTGTTTGTCTTACGCATTGCTCGATAACATCCCGAGTGACAATAACGTTATATCTTCCCATTTCAGGTCAATTAAAACTTTTTAATAGGATGTTCTTTTAGTTTTGGGATTGGTTTTTACTTGTAAAAACGGTTCGGTGAAAGCTGCGACTCCTGCTAATGGTCAGTTTAAGCAGACTGTATTCCCTTATGCCTAGTGGGATTTTGGTCCTTCGCCGTTGCAGCCCGAAGGATCAGATGTTTTGAGCAGAATCTCGATGGAACGTAATGACGTGTTGCCTTTGGGTTTTCGCCTTGGCTTGCGTCACCGCAGAGGGGACTTCGGATTTAATACTAGTGTTTGATACTGATGGTTGGGAATCCTGCAAATCCTGGGTGGTGTTTACGACACTTTTGCTTGTTACACACTCACACAGCGAAGGCCTCAGAATTATATAATTTTTCGCTAATCCCTTATAAAAGGCCCGTCTGTCGGCTGTTTGCACTGTATTATAATGAGGTTTAAAAATGCCTCACTCGACCAAAGGCACGTTTTACCTCATTCCAGCGAACATCACACGATCATTTGAATTAAGGTAATGTTGTGAGCTGTGGTAGTAAATACTAGTAATACTCTTTCCTGTTCGTGTCCACTTCATTTACACTAACCAGGCAGTTTTAAGTGTAGTCACACTTTTTCTTTATTCACATTAACCAATAGAACGGTTATGGCGGACAGTTTTGTCCAGGTCTGCCTAGTTCTCTCTCGATAGATTTATGTTTCAGTGCACCAAGACCAAAAAAACCCATAAATAATCATGTATCTGGGCCGTCTTTTTTAGTTGCGGCACCCAGGTAAGCTTCCAGCTCGTTTTTGTTATTGTGAAGGTAATTTTAGCTTTGGACCACATGTTGAGCATGAGAAGGTGGAACTCAGTATTAGGTTGCAGCTCACCGAACCAGTGCTTTCCAGCCTGCTTAGTGACGGGTTGGCTGTAGTAGTTAGTTGACACAGTGGATCGAGTGTATTTTTGACATGATCCTATGAAAAACTCCTGAGTCTTGTCAAGGCATAAGTCACATGGTCCTGACTTCAAAGCTGGTAGTTGTCCGTATTTCTGTCAGCAAAACATAGTCTTACTTCCTAGAAGCATCATATTACTAAGAACAACTTGACTATTAAGCAGCCAAAATAGAGTCTATCGGTTGGCCGATGCCGTTCTATTGTTATCGACAAAAATACAGTCTAACATGCTGATGATTTTATTTATTTATTTAGTTATTCATTTATGTAGTTGTTTATTTTGGTCAAGGCATCTCCTGCAATCTCTTAACCGTAGGGCAAAAATTTTAATGTTTATTCCACTATTTCACCACGGAGCCTAGCATTATTTACTTGTTTATTTTAATTAAAGAAGTGGGACAATTGAAAACTGACAGTCATATGTCCGTAAAGAACTGATTGACTACGGTATAAGAAATAAAATATTATATTAGCTGATGTTGTTTTTTTTTATTGGAATTTTTAGACACTTAAAGGGTATTAATGTTGGCTACAATTTTTTCATATTAATTGGGCCCTAGTTCAGAGCTTTCTTTGCAGCTTAGGCTGTTTACCTAGTTTGTTGCTAGACATTTGAACGAGGGGAACATTAAATGGACTAAGTGTTTTGTTCTGTTTGTTACTACGTACTGCGTTTGCAGTATGCTTCTCAGTATATTAAAACCACGTTGGTAAACCTTACAAATGTAAATAATTTTGACCAAAGTATTTTTGACCAGCCTTCCACCCAATGACTGCTGGGATAGGCTCCAGCATCCCCCGTGACCTGGAAGGATAAGCAGCGTAGAAGGGGTGTGTTTGTGTGTGTGTGTGTTTTTGACCAACAGATTTATTCAGAGTGATATTTGGGCTTTTGCCCAGGCTGTTGCTAGACATTGGAACTGGGTCTGCACAATATAGACAGTCTATCATAATTTGATTGTAGTACTACATACGGAGATCAGCTTTGTAGTATATGTAAACACCCTGATGAATCCTTGATGTGACATGATTAAGGATTGACTTGCATTATTTAACACATACGTAGCTGTGTGATTGAGCTGCTAGAGTATTAAAAAAGGTCTGATGTTTACTTGTTTAGCAAAGTGCAAGTACCTTGTTAATGCGTTCAAGTTCAAGCCTGCCTGTTGTTTATTTATTGCTAGTGAGTAGAAAAGTTTGTCAGTGTGCTTAAAAATCATAATGATGGCTTTTTGTTTGTTAGAACTATCTAGAGTCAAGACAAGCCATATTTGTTTTCTTTGAACCAGCAGAGCTGTTTTAAGCTTGTTTATGTATTGTCACAATATTTTTCTATAATGTAGGGTGTCTATTCAGTTTGCTGACTGAAAGTTGTAGAGTGCTTAACAGATGTAGGAGGAGAACTGGGTTGATTTGTGTCTCTTTAGTGTGAACAACAAACAGGATCGTTTCATTGTGGCAGAGTTGCCACCATTTTGGGGAACAGTGGTTAGAGGAGGTGTGGGTGTGTATGTTTGTCTGTCAGGGAGTTGAAATGAGTCATTTCACCTGTTGCTTTTGTGATTTTCAAACAAGGCAGCTGTTCCCCCTTATAGTAGTGCTAACTAGAGAGAGACACATACAGAATATGATACAAAAGTAAGCAGCTGAAGGAAGAGAAGGGTCATGACCCTGTTATCTGGTCACGTGTAAGTCAAGAGTCCATATTAGACAAATGTCAAATTGCAACCAAATTTCCCTTCAACTCAGTCTTTTGTTTGTAGTGTGTAGTTGACATGCTGATATAAAAATTGAATGTCGCAATAACTGCCTAAACTTTTGTCACAAATTATATCACGATTGCATTTAAAAAATCGTTTCTCTCTTTTGCATGCAGGAGTAGCCAATATGACAATATTTTATTGTTGTCATTATAAATTACATCACAGTATGTTTTTCTGAGCATCTCGTGGATATTGTCAGTACTCAAAGAACAGTGACTATCTGCATGTGTCATCACAAAGAGCATAATTATGCCTGTATAATTAGATTTAGTGCGTTTTTCTGTGATACGCTGAATAAAAATCATTGTGTACATAGTTTTTATAGTAATCTTTAAATGCAACATTAGGCTTCTTGTTCTTGGCTGTTCCAGCTAATCAAACTATCAAAAACTATCAAAAAACGTGGTACATATTGTGTGTTGTGAAAAAGTCTTCAGGTATCATGATGTATTTTTGCTGTATTGCACACCTCTAATGCATATGTAGAAGTTGTGGGGATTTCTTTGAAGGAAAACTTCCCTGATTGTTCTTTATAAAATACCACAGCGGTCTTTAGTTTCTGGAACCTTGTTTTTTTTGTCTTAATGTGCATCGTGTCATTGACAAAACTGCAACTTGCAGTGGCGGTATTTTCAAGTGTCCACAGCAATATCTTGTGTATTGAATATCGCGGCATACCTCATTGTTGATTATACAACAGTTAGTTCCGGCCATGCAGTCTGATTGGTTGAGAGGCATTCTGACCGTGCTGACCAATTTGGTCAGACTCTGAAGATGAGACTATCATTACCACTGAGCAAGCTTTTCAGTCAGCAGCTGTGACAGAACAACACCTAAACAACCTGGAATTAGCCAGAAATGAACCAAGTACCATTCGCCAAACGTGTAGTCTCATCTTCAGATTCTGACCATATCGGACCGAGCCATAAAACTGCTGCAATAAAAAACAAAAAAGCTTGCTCAGTGGTGATGACAGTTTCGGAATTTAGTGTAAAGAGCTGGAGAATGAACTGCTGGCTGTGCAGCGAGTGAGCGGAGTTCATTACTCTGACGTAGCAACAAGCTGCTTGTTAAGGAACTATAATTTGGCAGAAGGAACTGCTAACGTTAAAACATGTTAAATGACACGTTCACGCCACAATTTATTAATTTCTTACTTTATTTATTTAACTGTTGTATAAAACCAATAGAACACTCGAGTGTTATCGCGCATTGCGACCAAATCACAGCTGTGATGTTATTTTGCGATAACACACTCCCTCTCGTGTTCCATTGCTTAAACATCATTGCATCTAGTTTGTTTGTGACGTTTTTTAAATTCAAAGGAATTAATTAGAAGAAATTTTGAGCTGTTAAAACAGAATGGCCATGGTTTATTTGCAGTATACTTGCATTCTCTTTTGTGCTGTTTTGAAAAGAGGTCCTATTTTTTTGTCAGTGGATTTCAGTTATGTGTTTTAAATATTGATTTTTACCTCAAGGTAAAAGCTGTCATCATCCTGCCCTAAACAGTCAAAAGTCATAGATACATAATGTGTCAGTCGTCAGCTAATTCAGTCTATATTTTCTCTCATTGCTGGTTTTAGAAGACACGGCACTCCCCATTCCCCCTGCATCACTGCTTATCCAGATGTGCACTTTGCATGTTTTTGCAGGTGTTTTTGTTGGTCCCTCTTATGAGACAGAGAATGGTCTCTAGTTACTGCAAGTTTCATTGTGCAGTAGCAGAAATATTTAGCATTCCTGACGAACCCTTATGTTTACAGTTTCTTAAAGTATTGTCATTACTCATACGTAGTAAAAATATATCGTATATACATATTTAGAATTGCACTTGACCAATATAATGCAAAATACA